GGGGGTAGCGAAGGACTTTAAAAGTTCTAAACTCCTTGGGGGTAGCCTACCGTAGCTTGCTTTTTATTATTAATAATTTAGTAGCCAGTTCTCAATTTTGAGTTTCGATTTTAATTGCCGTTGCTGTTGAATTATCCCTTTTGTAGCTTGCTTATCTGCATATGAAATGTTGTTCCAAAAACACGCTCAATAGAATTATGGTGGCTTTTTGTGTGTCTCTGCAGTGCTTTACAAAAACATGCTGGTACAGTACATGTATTGTAGGCCTACATGATAATTTGATGTATTGTGCTTTTACATACTAATGTCATTCACTTTGTTTGAGCAGAACTTTTGTTTTAACCTCCGGACACTTTAAGGCAACGGGGCAACCATAATTAATGTTGATGGTTGAAGTGGAGTTGCTTTTTTTTTAGGGGGAGGGCAATTAAAGCACTGGCCCATTGGCATGAGTCGAAGACGGAAGGGAAATTTAAGGCAGAACATGTACGTACAGGAAAGGTCTTTAGTGGGCTCTCGACTGTCTTAAATTGTTTGCATCTTCTGTCATGATATCAAGACAATTGGTCATCTGTCTGAAACCTATACATGTCATGCCCCACAAAAAAAAAGCATCACTTCGCCCGTCCCCCAAACCCCATATCCAACGCCATCAGAGAGAAATCTTATACTAGGCTAATTATTTGTTATCATGTCAAAGTTTCTTCTTCCTCTCCTCCTCCTCCTCCTCCTTAGTCCTCCCCTCTCCTCCTCCGATCCTCCTCCTATCTCAGAGACTCCTCTCCTATATATTATACTCCCTTTTTTCTCTCTTCTGGGGGGGGGGAGGAGGAGGCATATGTATTTAGGCTCTTGTTTCTGGGCGTCTACGAATATAATAGAATCAGATAAATTTTGAAATATTGATCTGGGTGAAAGAAACCATAGATATATACGGTAAGCCCAATTATTATAGAAATACCGCATTCACGGTCTCTGCATGGGTGGGCCTTCCGTGAGAACAAACTGAATGTTACTCGTGTGTGTAAGTGTAAGCCCCTACCGATATATTTCAACACAAATCTCTTAAAGCACTTCGAGTTTCTTGATTAAATAGTAAAATAATCTTGTTTGATCCTTCCTACATAAAACCGGAGTTGCCTTTTGTTTAGAAATGGATAAACTCTCAATTCTTGCACGAACTACGGTATTTTTTTCACATGATATTTGCGCTATATATGACTATCTATCGAAATTCGGCCTCCCTCAAGGAGCTTAGAACTAATGGAGCCTCCTCTCACTCTTCGCGGCGCTGCGAGCAGTACGCCGCGTTGGGGATCAAATATGGCCACCGAGTGTGGGCTAAATCACGAACTGTGGCGTTTCTTTTTATAGAATTTTATCAGGCTGGGCCACGTTGTGGGGGTGGGCGGGGTGGGGGAATGCACGCAAGGAAGAGGGGATGGGGCTGG